AACTTCTTTATCCAGTCATTTGTTGCTTCATTTAGGTTGCTTCCATGTGTTGGCTATTGTACATAGTGGTGCTGTGAATACTGGGGTGCAGGTATTTTTTTCGCACTGAAGTTCCCTCTAGATTTATACCCAGAAGTGGGATTGTTGGATCATAGGGTAAGTATTTTAAGTTTTTTGAGGAATTTTCCCTAACAGTTATACCAAACTACATTGCCACCAGCAGTGTAAGAGGGTTCCCTTTTCTTTACACCATCTCCAGCATTTATCTTCATGAACTTTTTTGAGTGATGGCCATTCTGACTGGTGTGAGCTGATACCTCATTGTAGTTTTGACTTAGGTTTCTCTGATAATTAGTGATATTGAGCATTTTTTCATGTACCTATGGGCCATTTGTAGTCTTCATTGGAGAAATGCTTGTTTAGATCTGCCCATTTTTGGATTGGGTTGGTGGTTTTTTGTTACTAAGTTTTATGAGCTGTTTATGTATCCTGGAAATTAAGCCTTTGTCAGTTGAATTATTTACAGGTGTTTTCTCCCATTCTGTAGGTTGTCCTTTTGTTTTGCTTATGGTTTCTGTTGCTGTGCAAAAGCTTGTAAGTTCACTTTTAGGTCCTGTTTGTTTATTTTTGCTTTAATTTCTGTTGCTTGGGCAGATTGCCCTAGGAGAACATTGCTGAGATGTATGTCAGGTAATGTTTTGCCTATGTTTTCTTCTAAGGTTTATGGTGTGTTGTCTACATATGTAAGTCTTAGCCATTTTGAGTTTATTTTTGTATATAGTGTGAAGGACTATTCTAATTTCATTGATTTACATGTAGCTCTCCAGTTTTCCCTACACTGAAGAGACTGTCTTTACTCCATTGTATATTCTTGCCTCCTTTGTCAAAGATTGACCAGAAGTTTTTGGGTTTATTTCTGGGCTCTCTATTCTGTTCCGTTGATCCGTATGTCTGTTATTGTATCAATACCGTGCTGTTTTGACTGCAGCTCTGCCATATTGTCTGCAGTCTGGGAGGGTTATTCCTCTAGCTTCATTCTTTCCCTTCTGTAATGCTTTGGTAATTCTGGGTCTTTTGTGATTCCAAGTAAATTTTAGGATAATTTGTCGTAATTCTGTGAAAAATGTCCTGGGTAAGTTGATGGGGAATCACATTGAATCTGTAGATTGGTTTGGGCAGTGTGGCCATTTGAACACTATTAATTCTTCCAAGGCAAGAACATGGGATATCTTTCCATTTTTTAGGTCCTCTTTAATTTCCTCACTCACTGTTTTGTAGGTCTCTGCATGTCTTTCACTTCCTTGGTCAGATTTATTCCTAAGTATTTTATGTTTTTGGATGCAGTTTTAAAAGGGATTATTCCTTTCGTGTAAAGAAATGCCACTCATTTCTGTATGTTGATGTTGGATCCTGCTACCTTGCTGAATTCTTTCCTTAGCGCTTAGTTTTTCTGCGGAGCCTTTAGGGTTTTCTGTGTATAGTACTATGTCATCCGCATATGACAATTTTACCTCTTTTCTTCCAACTTGGGTCACTTTTCTTTCTTTTTGTTGTCTAACTGCTATACTAGGACTTTTGCTACTGTATTGAATAGAGCTGGTGAGAGTGGGCATCCTTGTCTTGTTCGAGATTTGAGCAGAAAGGCTTTCAGCTTTATACTGTCCAGTATTATGCTGGCCATAAGTTTGTTACAAATAGTTTTTACTATGTTGAAATAATGTTCCCTCTGTACCCACTTTGGTAAGACCATGGGCTCAGTGTAGTCAGGGGGCTGGAAGGATGGTAGCAGCAGTGGCGGCAGGAGGGGGGCTGCCCTTTCGAATCAGTCATTTGCTCCCATCTCCCCTGTGGCCTGGCCTAGGGGTGGCCTCTGCTGCCCCAGGTTCACTGTAGGCAGGTCCCCAGGTCAGCAGGCTCCCAGGAGGCGGGCGTGGTGCAGTCAGGGAGCAGGGGGCAGCGGGGGGAGGGTGTCTGCCTTCGAGGAGCTGGCCTCTTTGCTCTAGTCTGCCTTGTGG